AGAAAGATGGTCAAGAGGAAGACACAGGGAGAGGCTGGGCAAGTGTGCTGGTCAGCAGGACAACTGAGGTGAAGGAAAGTCTTTTGGACTCTTGATTTCAGAGGTTTTGGTCCACGGTTGTTTGGCCTGTTGCTTTGGGGATGTGGTCAGGGTGTGATGGTTAATCTTCACTGTTACCTTGACTGGATTTGGAATTACCTAGATGAACCTCTGGGTGAATCTGTGAAGGTTTCCAGAGAGGATTAACTGAGAAGGGAAGATGTGCACTGACTATGGGCAGCAGCATCCCAGTCTTAGACTGAATAAAAAAGGGAGAAAGGAGGAAACAAGCTGAGCACCATTGGCTCTCTCTCTCTCTCTCTCTCTCTCTCTCTCTCTCTCTCTCTCTCTCCTTCCTGTGTGGGCGGTGGTGTGAGCAACTGCCTGGCTCTCCTGCCACCAGTCTGAACTGTTCTCGCTGCCATGCTGTCCCTGCCATGATGGACTGTCCCCTCAAACCACAATAAACCCGTCTTTCCTTCAGTTGCTTTTGTTGGGTGTTTTGTCACAACAATGAGAAAAATAACTAATGCAGAGGGAGGGCGTGGTGGAGTAAGCTGTTTTCTCCGCCCAGATGCAGAGAGGAAGGGGTGAAAGCCCCATAATCCCCTTCAAAGGCATGTCCCCAAATGACCTGAAACTCCCCACTAGGCCCTGCCATGTTCCAACAGATCTGAGGGCTGGGACCAAGCTGTCAACACGCAGGCCTTTAAAGGGACACTTACCTAAACCATGATGGCAAGGCCTGTGAGTGGAAAAGTCACAGAATCGTAACAGTCCCTGGGTCTGATAATATCAAAGAAATAAAAATACTGCACGGCTATTCTGTCAAACTGATTGAGATTTGTGAACTCAGAATTCACAATGTTGACCAGCACTAATGAGCCTCCTATAGGGCTTGCATACCCTACAGTCAGGGCTGCCTCTAATGGCTCAGCCTTTTGAAAAGCAATTTGGTGTGGTGGAGCTGAAGTGCTTCTAAATTAGCTCACACTCTAAGACTGGGGCTGTAGCTCAGTGATAGAGCTTGCCTAGTATAGGCAATGCCTGGGTTCCATCTCCAGCATGCAAAAATGGAAAGCTTGATGAAAGATCTGGAACTAGATTGTGCTGATGGTTAGAAACATTGTGAAGGTACTAAAAGCCACCAAACTGAACATTTAAAGGTAACTTTATTATGTGTCTTTTACACACAATTAGAATATAAGCTGGGTGTGCTGGTGCATACTTATCCCCGAATGCAGCAGGCTAAGGAAAGGAGCTTTGCCACGAGTTCAAGACCAGTCTGGCCTGTATAGTGAGTTCCACAGTGGAACTCACTATACAGAGTGGGACACTGTGATAACAAAAGCAAGTAAGAAGAATGGGGGGAGAGGGAGGGAGGGAGGGAGGGAAGAAAAGCTAGAAAGCCAAATCCTTTGCCCAGTCATTCTACTTCTGGCAATCTGGACTGGGAAAATAATACAAGATAGTACCAGAGCCCATGACAGCACTCTTTATATTAAGAGATTGGAAACATGGGCTGGAGAGATGACTCAGTGTTTAAGAGCACTGGCTGCTCTTGTGGAGGACCCAGGCTTGGTTCCTAGAACCCACATGGAGGCTAACATTCATAACTCCAGTTCTAGGGGGTCAGATGCCCTCTTCTAGCCCCCATGGGCATTGCACTTATATGCATGCAAAACAATCACACACATAAAATAAATAAAATTTCAAAAAGAGATTAAAACAATATAAATGTTTGAAAAAAATAGGGACAAGGTTCATCACAGCAGATCCATAATGGTAATGCTATGTATCTATTAAGTAATTTTAAAGCACAGGGAAGGACTGGCAAGATGGTTCAGCAGATAAAAGCTCTTACTACCAAACCTGACTACCCGAGTTCCATCCCCCAGGACCCACAGGGTGGAAGGAGAGAACCAGTTCCTGAAAGTTGCCCTCTGACCTCCACACATGAGCCCTGGCATGTGAGCACCCCCTCATATACATATAAATAAATAAGTAAATAAATAATTTTTAAAAGAAACATGGGAGACGCCAGGCATGGTGGCGCATGCCTTTAATCCCAGCACTTGGGAGGCAGAGGCAGGCATATCTCTGTGAGTTAAAGGCCAGCCTGGTCTACATAGTGAGTTCCAGGACAGCTGGGGCTATAGGGAGACCCTGTCTCAAAAAGACTTTTAAAAAAAGCAAGAGAATAAGGGAAAATACCAGAATTAGAACTCCAAATTTTTTTTTTTTTTTTTTGGTCTTTTTGAGACAGGGTCTCCCTGTAGCCCCAGCTGTCCTGGAACTCATTATGTAGACCAGGCTGGCCTCGAACTCACAAAGATCCGCCTGCCTCTGCCTCTCAAGTGCTGAGATTAAGGGCGTGCGCCACCGCGCCCTGCTAATCATTGTTTTGTAGCAGAGTTACAGAAATGTCTGCGTTGGTGGATATGATAATTTGGATTGTAGCTATTTTCGCAGTAATACCAAACATTTCAAAGTTGTGCTTGGTCCTCTGGAGATGAATCAGGTCCTTCACCCCAGCCCCATCCTCTCCATGTTTTTATATAAAAGAACAGGACTGGCTGGGCGTGGTGGCGTACGCCTTTAATCCCAGCACTAGGGAGGCAGAAGCAGGCGGATCTCTGTGAGTTTGAGGCCAGCCTGGTCTCCATGGTAAATCCAAGACAGCTGGGGCTACAGGGAGACCCTGTCTCAAAAAGACCAAAAAAAGAACAGGACTGACTGCAGTTGCTTGGAGCATAGGATCTCATTGAAAAGGCCATTTTCATGAATACGGTAAGAGGAAGAGTAACCAGAGATTTCCCGACAGGTGGTGTTTATAAAGTTTTTATTTTCCATTTTCTTAAAAATAACATTTGCTTTCCTTTATGCATGTGTAGAGTGAACTTGTTTCCTTATGCTTAGTTAGTAATAGGCAGATAAAGACAACGCGAGTGAGGGGCCTCAGGCGGAAGTGGTAGAAGTAGGGGAGGCAGGGTGTGAGCGGAAGGGAAGAGGGCAGGGTGACCCAAGGGATGCTTGAGTGCCCATCAATGCACACTCAGGTCTAACACTTGTTCAATTTTGTTTAAAGACATCTAAAATCACCAAGAGATACAATTTCAGCACTTAAATCTACAGACGGAAACCCGAGCACTTGACCACAATTCTTAACTCTAAGCTCAGTTATTGCACATTAGACAGTTTAAGTAGGACACAGGCTGCAAAGCGGGTTGCTGTGCTTGGGACTTGCTAGGGATGTCTTGAATCTCCTTTTGCACCCCCAGGCTCTTCCCTAGGACAACTGCAGGCCCTGGATGACCCAGGTATCAAACACTAGCCTCCCCAAGGCTTTGGTGAAATGACACCAACAGATCTCCACCTATCCACTCAGAGCAAAAGCAGATGGAGTTTATGAAAGACTGAAGAGAGGGACTTCCGGGCCAAACCAGGTGGACTGGAGTGAGGGAGGACGTGTGCCATCACATGTAGTCACAGCTCTTGTGAGACCCTGGGGGTGGTCCAGATGTCCCATGTCCCTCTCATCAGTTTTACCTCCTCCCAGGGCTGCCCAGGCTATGCCCTGTCCCCATCACTCCTGGGACCTCTGAGTGGTCTCTCAAGGCACGTTTATTTTCTCCAAGCCCAAACTGCCTCATCTTGCACAACCATCTCTTCCAGCACCCATGGGACAAGGAGGCGTGGGCAACTGAGGACAGCTCCAGGGACTGGCAAGATGTGGCTCTGTTTGTTGTAATTTGGTTGAGCTCTTTTCAGTTCAGCCCTAATTCCCCTGCCTTGGACAGGGAAGTGAGAGCAGAAGGGACAGGGAGGGGCTGGGCAGGCAGCTTGGTCAAGGGCATATGCCACAGGGTTGATGGTGTTCTAACCTGTGACCCTCTTCCAGAGGAAGCCTCAAGTTTGTCTAACCAGAAGCCACTTGAGGGCTTCAGCCCCATGGGGAACAGCTGCTCTGCCTGCCTTTGAGGGACTCTGTCTCAGTGAGGTGTAAAGCAGTAGGGGCTGTAGAGGAGAGCAAGCCTCTGAACCCCTGCAGGCCAGCCATGGGTGAGTTCAACACCTTTTGCTGTCTTCCTAACACATATTTACAAAGTCAGGCAAACAACTAGAAGACCCAGGAACACACAGAGCACAGCCCCCGAGGGGAGCAGAGCATGACACTTCCTCTGTGCCCCCTCCCACCCCAGAGCCTCAAATCCTTCACAGCTGCCCAGGGACATTCTAGAAGCCCAGCTGTGGCAGAGGAAGAACCAGACTCCATCCCAGGGAGAGCAGGAAGTTTCAAGTAGCTCCAGCCAGGGGGCGAGGGCTAAAAGGTCTCTGGTACTCTTTCAGTTCTCTTGAAATATTATCTGCATCTTTTCATTAGGAGGAAGAGGAGGAGGAGGAGGAGGAGGAGGAGGAGGAGTGCTGCTTCTGGAGAATGCAGAGGGTTGATGTGACTGAGCCAGGGACCAGAGGAAGGCTGCTAAAGCCGAGGGGGTGAGGGTGGGGGAACGGAGAGCTGGATGAATGTGACATTGGAGGGTGAGAACTGTGCTGCAGAATGAGAAACACTTTTGGGGCATAGTGGAGTTCCCCTATTCCCCCAGCAGACAACTAGGAAGATGTTGATCCCAGGGTGGCGAAAAGGGGTGGACAGGGTGAGGCTCTTCCCTAAAGTCCAGACAACACTCCATGGATGCATCCAGCTGGTGCCCAGAGATGCTGGGGAGAACCAGACTGGGGCCTTGCCCAGGAACCCTCAGCACATGAACCCCACACTGCCACCCACCCTCCCAGCACACAGAGGCCCTCCTTCCCAGACACCAGGATGACCCCTAGGTTCTCTCTCTCTCTCTCTCTCTCTCTCTCTCTCTCTCTCTCTCACACACACACACACACACACACACACACACACACACACACACACCATACAGACATAAACACATATACACACACCATGCACAGACAAAAATACACAGATATAACACACACACACACACACACACACACACACACACACACACTGCACCAAAAGGTATCAAAGGCCCAAGTCCAGGTAAGAGATTCTTCATCTGACATATTAAGGAATTTCCATTGAGAGGGAGAACTGGGAGAATAAACAACAAACACAGGAACTAAACCTATCTGGGTTAGAGGACCTCCCACTGAGCCTGGAGATTTGGGGACACAGTGAGGTGTGGCCTTGGGCCTTAGCTGCCCAGTGTGGTCCCCTCTGATGTATTGTTCTCTACCCCATACTGTGGGGCTTTAAATAGGACTTGGGGATGAAGCTCTGTTGGGGCAGCCCTTTGGGACCCTGGAGACAGAAGAAAACCCAGTGGCAAAGAGGAGTGAGACTGGGGATGGCCCACGTGCCTCTCCTCTAGGCACAGTGGAAAAGCTGACTGTTACAGAGAGCCAGGGGCAGCTTCCGCTGCTTCTTCACACAGTGTTGCAAGGACAAGTCTTTCTACTGGTTTGGGCAGGAGGAGAACATTTGGTTAGAGGATCAGGGAAGACGTGGGCACATACCTGCTTTCTGGTCCTCAGGCTCCTTAGGACAACAGGGGCTCTAGCAAGGGGACAGAGGAGGCAGCAGCAACCCCTCACACCACGGGGAGCAGGCAGGGCTCCATGACCTCCACCCCCAGTAAGACAGCAGCCTAGACACCCATGAGACCATAGGAGTGGCTAGCTTAACCCAGGGTATGGCAATCAGGGACCTTCCTACCCTGCCTCACTGTCTCTGCCCGTTCTCCTGGGCTATCTCTGGTTACTCAGGCATGGATTAAGAGAGACTATTAGGTGTGTCCAGCCTTTTGACATTGTGATGGGACACTGTCATCAACAAAGTTCACACTCAAGGAATGCTCAGAATTATAAAAACAGCTTCATGTTTTAAGTAAGTTTACGGTTTTGCATTGGGCTGCACTGATAATTATCCTTGGTTGTATGTAGCTCAAAGACCACAGATTGGACATACTTACAGCTAGATCTTGAGTTTATCAACAAAGGGATAGGCCTGCTGCGGCCAGTGCTCTGGCCCATCACTGGAAAATGGTGGGACTTTCATGCCAAATCTGTCTAGCTTTGGGAGGATGTCCAGCTAATAGATAGCTTCCTTCCCTCCCTTTCCCTTGGTCTCAGAAGAGAGAGGAAGGAAGGCAGGAAGGGTAAAGAGGGCGTGAAGCTGATTAGGGCGGGGTGGTGCACCAGGGATTGGGTTGGGGCTAGAGCGGCTGGAGGGACAGGATGGGGACATCTCATTTTATTGATTTTGGCCTTTCAGTGTGTATATATGTGAGTGTGTGTATTTAAAAACCAACAACAAATGGAAAGGGAACAACTACAGGAGACTGAAGGGGCCTTTGGGTGACTCACTGCCAGGAGCAGCATCGATTAAGGACACATCTGTCACACTCACACACATGCACACATATACATACACATTGCACACATACACAACACACTTGCACACATGCACATGTGTGTACACACATTCATTCACTCTCACTTCTAGTCCTCCTGCTGGATCCAAGGCCCTTCACACCGACTTCCGGATCCATTTGCTAAGTTGCCTGCTGCTGTCCAGGTCTCTGCTGGCCCATCTCCCCAGCCGTTGGCACCCCAGCCTGCCACGGCCTGTGAGGGCCATCTACCAGATGTAGCCTCCGTCGTCTGCCTCGCCTGCCTCGCCCTCCTCTTCCTCGGCCTCCTCGCCTGCCTCTTCTGTCTCCTTCTCCTCTTCATCCTCCCAGCCAACACCGCTCCCAAAATCCCCTGAGAAACCCACGATGTCATCTGTTGGGGGAACAAGCAAAAGGCTGGTAAGGAATCTGCAATCCGCTTCCCTTCCCTCAGCCTGGAATCCTGCCCTGCATTCATGAACCCAGGTGCAGGTTCTCAGGAGGTCCCCAAGGCCACCAGCCCTTACCACAATCAGGGTTCCCATGCATGCGGGTGCCAGTCAGCTCCAGGCCCAGTTGGTCCACACACCAGCAGTCACCACTGCTCTGGTCACACTGCATCTTACGGTAGTAGCCATCCTCATCACAGCTTGGGATGAAGACACCTGAGGAAGACAGGATCCCACAGGGTGTGGGCTCTGGAGCCTTGTGTGTGAGCTGGGACCCAGACAGCCCAAAACATGGTCAGCCTGCTACTGACCTCCAAGAAACCAGACACCCAGGGCTTGTTTCTTCCAGCACTACTGATTGGAAGGGCAGACTTCCCCTCCCCCTGCATACCTAACCCACTTACTCAAGGCTGCTGTGAGGGCTCCATCCATTGCCTTCTTGGGGGAACAGACAATAGAGAGGGCTTCCCAGCGTCCCTGGTGCTCTCACAAGGCCTGGAGGCCCTGGGCTCAGTGAGCACAGCTTTGTGGGTGCTCTGGGGGCTGGGTCTTTGGTGTGCTGGCCTTGTAAGCTCAGGAAAACATGAAACTGCTCTCGTGGAGCTACAAGGTCCTCCCGGAATGACCGCATCTCAAGATCTTGGACACCTCAGCATCACATTCCAGCTGCACAGGTCCTTCCTGCGGTTGTCTGAAGATCTCAAGCTTTTTCCTGTTCTCAACAGTGTGCTACTTATCTGGCTTATTTGCCTCTCTTGGGACTCCCCAAAATGCCAGTCCCCCTAAAGCTGACCCTCCCCCTGGGCCCCAGAAAGCTTACGCACATATGCATACCTGCATTCTTCCCTCAGTACTTACACACCAGTCTCCTGTTTTGGTATGTTGATTTGCATGTTGCCTATTTCCCTGGCTAGCCTAGGCAGAGGCCTTATAGGGCCAGGAACCTTGTCTGTCTTGCCCATCAGCTCTGACCTGTGCTGGGTAGGCTCTTTTGTCTCTCCAGTGGGTTTTTTTGAGAACATGAGTGAGCATCTCCTGCGGAGGGGCTGCATTCCAGTCTTAGACCCACATCTGCTGCTATGAACTCAAATGGAGGACTCTTGGATGCTTCCGCATCCCAGCTCCAGTCCCAGCTTGGCTAGCTATAAAATGAATGCTTAAACACACTCACTGAGGGGCAGCTGGGGAGACCCTGGCCTATCATGCTGTTGAAACGTGAAGGGTCTCTCCTTGTGTGGTCCTGATCCAGGGCCTCCTCTAGGCTCAGCATGTGCCACAGGCAGGGGAACTGGCACCTCCTGGCCTCCTCCTCTGCACCCCTCCTCACCTGGCTTCTTCTTAGCCGCCTCCTGGATCTGTGTGCGCTCCAGCTCTGCCAAGCAGGGGGGCTCTGTGGAGAGAGGCAGCATGAGCTTTGGTCCATAGTGCTGACACCCTACTTAACTCCCTTTGTGGGGACTCTGCAAGATGAAATATTTTGTCTCACATGGGGCCACCCTAGGGTAGTAATGGGATGTATTGATCCCTCTGAGGTCCCCAAACCAGTGTATGGCTTTGTGGGATGAAAACACCCAGTCTCTAATTAGGGGAGGCCACTGTGGCTTAGGACAGACTGAGGATCCCAAGAAGCCTAGGGCTCTCTGGAGATGTAGGCACTCATAAAATAAGCTAAAAAATAAAAAATAAAAAATAAAAGAGGTGGGGAAAAGAGGCAGACACCCCAGGATGAGAAACTCCAGGGGGAACAGAAGGTTTAGAAGGGTACTACATCTAAATTCCAGGCCTGAAAATAGCTGACAGTTAACCTCTACTATTTGAGACCTTGTGGGAACTTCCTGTCCCTGCCTACCCTGGAGGGGTATGGAGGGGGCTGGAGGTCCATGAAGGTAAAATGAGATAGTCCCAGCCTCCTGACACAGGAAGGCTGACATGCAGAAAGGATAGGATGAGTACCAAGGGCCTAGGACTGAACATGTTGGAGCAATGCGGGCAACAGGGAGGCTGGGTAGCACAACAAGAGTGGGAAGGCTGCTCATGAGGCCTCACATTCGCAGAGAGGTGTTTGAGTCCCACAGTGCTTTGCACACAGATCTCCTCAGTTCATGCTCACTGTGGTCTCTGAGGTGTCCCTCAGAGCTCCCATTGTGAGCTTCCAGTTCAGATGAACTCACAAAGATTTGGGCCCTTGTTCAGGGCCCCGAACAGCATATGGTGGAGCCCAAGTCAAGCTTTGGTCTCTGGCTGTGGATGCTTCCCACTTCCACCACACAGTGGTCACTGAAGGGAGCACTGGGCCTACCCCCAGATGCCAGCCAGGCAGCTCACTTGACGCCTTGAGATCTCACTGTCCCCATCAATAGCTGACATTTGCCTCTTAGCAGAGATGATTTCTAAGCACACATCCAGCTCTGGCTCTGAGCATACATAGCTAACAAATGCCATGCACCAGACATGGCAGTGCACTGTAATTCCAGCACTCAGGAGGCTGAATAAACAAAAGGATCAAATTCAAGGCCAGCTGGGATACACAGTGAGTTCCAGGCCCATATAATACCCCAAAATTTTTAAAGAAACACAAATAAATAAAACAAAAGCCAGGTGTGGTGGGGCATGCCTGTAATCCCAACACTTTGGAAGAAGAGGCAGGAGGGTCAGGAGTTCAAGGTCAGCCATAGTTAAGTTCCAGGCCAGCCTGGGATGTTCAAAACCCTGTCTCAAAAAAAGACTCCATTTATGTAGAGCTAATGATAACTTACATAATCACTTATTTTGGGGCAAGAAGGTAAGCTGTGTCCAACAGAAATGGACAGTGCAAAGCTAATGTGTCTTCAGCTCTAAGACCCTTACTTACTTTAACATTCATTATTATGTATGTGTGTTTATATATAATGTATGTGTGTATGTGTGCTCATATGATTGTGAGTATGACTATGAGTCTGCCATGGAATGGATGTGGAGGCCAGAGGATGACTTTGTGGAGTTAGTTCTCTTCTTATACCTTTACATGGGTTCTGGGATCCAATACAGGTCATCAGGTTTGCGTGGTCCAGTGGTAAGCACCTTTACTGCTAAGTTATCTTGTCAGCTCCCTCACTTTGGCTTTGAGTCAGGGTCTCTTCCAAAAATTCTCCTGTTTCACCCTTCCCCAGAGCACTGGGATTACAGATGAGCTTGCTGTGGGTTCCAAACTCAGACTGCCAGGCTTGTATAGAAAGTGCTCCTAGCCCCACGTTTGTAAGGTTTTTTTATACTCTTGTTTAAAGGCCTTCAAAAGTACACAAGCTTCCAGACTCAAAAATCTGGATCCATTTGGGAGCCTTCCCACAGAGGGAGCTAAGTACCTTGGGCTCTAAGAGATAAGGGAGGCCCTAAGAGATAGAAAGAGTAGGTGGGCTGAGAAAGCTTTGGGTCTGAACATGTGATGAAGAGGGAGCTATTGGCCTACTCTCAAAGAGAGCCTGGAGCTGGGAAAGAGCCCCCAAATGGGAAGACCAGGGCCACAGGACCACACTCACTCCTCCCAAAGGGAGCCCAGAGCTGGGGCAGAGCCCCCTTCTGGGGAGGCTGGAGCCACAAGGCCACACTCACTTTCCCAGAGCGCCCCCACAGGGGAGGTCTGGCCACAAGGCTGCAGGGCCACACTCACTCTCCCTCCAGAAGCAGAAGCACCACTCAGCAGTGGAGACACGGCCATCCTTGTAGGTGTCGCAGGAGTTGAAGAAGGGACGGATGCAGACCTCATATTTGTCTAGGTTGATGGCAGCCAGCTCCGTCTGGTCCAGGAAGAGGTCAGCACTGGTGTCCAGCTTGGAGAACATCCAGCCAATAGAGTCCTTGCAGCTGGCCCCTAGGCTCTTGTCCAGACCTGGGGAGGAGACTGGGGTTTAGACATGCTCCACACCTGTCCGTCCATCTCTCTGCGTCTTTCTAGACCTAGACCTCTGTTCAGAGTCAGGTTAGCCTGGAACCTGAGCTTGGGGTCTACAAACTCAGGAACAGCAAAGGCCTTTGTCTCTCCTGCTACACAGAACTGTATCTGAGCCACTTAAAAGCCTGTTTTAAAAGCCCTTCAGAATTTGTTTTTCAGTACTGGGAATCAAACCCAGGTTAGTCTCATGCACACTCAGCAAGTGCCCTCTTCTGAGCTACATCATCAAACCCACAAAATAATGTTTCTTTATTTTCCTCAGCTTCTCAGGAGGTTAGCTCCTGCATCCAGATCAAGTCATGGATGAAATTATCTCCCTTCTTTCAGAGTGAAGCTTTTTGGGGGTTCACATTGCAGGCTTGGGACCTGACAAGAGGGAGCAGGGTAGGCTGGCCTGTGCACACCTGTCTCCTTGTGCCCCCTTCCCCCACCCCAGGCAGAGCGATGGCCCCTATGCTACCTGCAGGGTTGGCTGCACTGCTGGCTGAGCCATTCTGCTTGGAGTTCTCATGAAGGAGCTGGAACCAGTCCCGCAGCCGATCCCCCAAGTCAGCCAGGTCCTGACCTGTGCAGGTCTCTGCAGTGGGTAGAACAGAGTAGAGGGTGGAGAGTGAATGGGGCAAGCCTGGGAGGCTGGGCAATGGTAGGGGAGACCAGAGGGGAGGAAGAGAGGGATCAGGGGCCTCCTCTCCCAGGCTTCACTCATCTCTCACCTCTTGCTCCCTCCCTCCCACTCAAAATTCAACCAGGCTCCCTATGGAGGGGCTCTTCCATCCCACTTCCCAGATACCCAGGGAAGAGAAAAGTGGTAAAGTCCCAGCTTCCTGCTCTATGTTACCAAAACCCCAGACCTTTCCCTGTTGTCACTATGTGTCCCTTCCCACTCTCCAAACCTCTGTTACTATCCTATAGTCCTGAAGGAGGTGCCTAGGGCTCCTGGCAGTGAGTCACCAACCCCCTAAGTATGGCAGGGTGCATACTCCAGTTACCTGACTTGCCATCAATGGTGGAGGTGGTAGCCTGCTCCGTAGGGCAGGGACAGGGGCCTTCACATTTCACTGCCAGCTGCTTGCTGCTCAAGCATGCCTGCTGCTCCAGCTTACACTGCAGGAGAGAGCTCAGGATGGGTGATGGGGGCTCAGCTGTGGGTCCTGAAGCTGGGGGCCCCCTGAGACTTCCTACCATAGCAGCTATATCTGCCTTCCCCATAAATGACCTGGAAGAGTCCTTGTCCATCTGTAGACCAAGGAAGGGTGCACAGTGGCAAGGGGCCACAGGGCCAGCACAGGGTCCCAGGGACCCTATTCTGCAACCATCTGTCCTCTCTGAATATTTGTCCTTCCCTGCCCCTGCCCTCCTCACCCTGTCATGCCACCTCCTCTGTATGGCTACCTAGTGTCCACCCCTGGCTCTCATGGCCTGTCCTTCCCCTCCTTCTTGGCACAGTCCATTGGTTCCTGGTCCCTGGCCTTTCTAAGCTGATGCTCCTGTGATGATTTCTGAGAGCCACTCAGAACTCCTTACTGCTAGTGTTTCCCCTCATGAGGTGCTTCCCCTCGTGGGGTGTTCCCCTCATGGGGTGACTGCTATAATGGTAGGGCTGCCCAGTATTTGACAATGCTGTTAGTACCTAACAGCTCTGGGAGGAGGATCATGTTTTCTGTGCTCAGCAAAGAACATCAAGGGAGGTCCAGGACTGTGCCTAGAGCCATGGGCTTGAGGTAGAAGCTAGATCTACAGGACAGTGTGACCTTGACTGGCAGCTTCCTGCCCACAAAGTACTCGGTCCTTTAGTATTAGGACACAGTTCTCCCTCCCCCCCCCCCCCCCCCCGACTTCTCTCTGTGATCTGCAGTCTTCTTTGTAAGCCCTCTGGCTTCTCTGTGCAGCCTCTGCTTCTATCGTTGACTCACTCCCCGCCATGATTTGTCCACTCAGCAACTGTAATCCTCAACACAGCAAGAGAACTCTTACATCTGCATTTCATCCAGTCAAAAGGGTCTCCTGGGCCTGGGGAGATGGCTCAGTGGTTAAAGCACTTGCTATGCAATCATGAAGATCAAAGTTTGGACTTCTCAAATCCATATAAATGCTGCGTGGGTGTGGCAGACCACCTGTAATTCCAGCCTTGAAAGGCAGAGACAAGGAATCCCCAGACCAAGGTGGCTAGTAAGACTGGCCATATTGGCGAGCTCTGGGTTTGATTGAGAGACCCTGCCTCAATGAATCAGGTGAAAGAGCAATGAAGAATGAGTCCCAACATCAACTTTGGGCTTCCACATGCAGACATGCATACACACACACACACACACACACACACACACACACGAGAGAGAGAGAGAGAGAGAGAGAGAGAAACAAATAAGGGTCTCCTCAGCCCAACCCAAGCTGGTACCAGCAATGTACCAGGCTGTCCCAGCTTTTTGCTACTAGAAACACTCCTAGCCAGCACCTGGGTTTTGTGTTTCTAAGGAATGCTAAAGTGTGTAAAATAGTCACAAATATCCTCACAAAAATTCCACAAGATGGGAATCTGTTCCCTGCCGTGGTTCTTTCTCTCTTCTTCTCCTGGAAACTATGGCTTCCTTTCCACAGCGCCCGGGCTGGCTGGTGGTCACCAAGAGCTCAGTGGAAATCCTTTCCCCACCTCCATCCCACAGCAACTGTCCAGCAGAGCTCCCCCTTCTTTCCAAGGCTCTCCATACTTTTGTAAGCCCTTACCTGGCTTACTCCACTTGTAACTACCTGCCTGAATGTCTCTTCAAGGTCTCTTCCCCACCCTGCACTACCCAAGGTCAGTTTACCCTGGCTAGGGCTGCATGGTCCCTCCTATGCCCTGCAGGTTGGTTGTATTGGAGGTACTGACTGAGCTCCACATCAGACCTTGGAACTGCTCAGGGGGTCCCAGTCAGTGGTTCCTCTGTTCCCTGTGGCACTGGGAATACCCCACTTCCATCCCACCCAAGACCAAGGCTTCTCACCACTGAGCTGTAGGTGTGGCCATCAGAGCCACAGACTGAGGCAAGCTCGGCCATGTGACAGGGCTTGCAGACAGAGTCTCTGTTTCCATGGAGTTTCAGGGAAGGCTGCTTGATCCTACAGGAACAGGCGGGGAAGATATAGGAATAGAGGCAAAAAATGAGAGCGGCTAGCCAGAGGTCCAGGAGACCCTTTCTCACAAGACTGGTGTACACTGTCCAACAATCTACAGTAGATGACTCACCCTCACCCTGCCCACCCTCTCCCATCACCTCCCATCAGACTCTCCTCCAGCTCCTAAGGATGGAACCAACTAGGCAGGGCAAGGACTGTCACTCAGTCTTTTCCAGGAATAAAGCCTGTTCTGACTCCAAGAAGCAAAAGGTTATATCACTTCATGTGAGGGATCAGATCAAAGCAGAGGTTACAGATTGACAGACCATGGGGCACATCTGGTCCCTAGAGTAATTTTGTCTGTTCTTGTGTTTTTTAAGAGTTTTTTTCACCAACATATTCAAAATGGATGAGTTCACATAAAAACCCCAAATGCGGGGCTGGAGAGATGGTGCAGCGGTTAAGAGCTGACTGCTCTTGCAGAGGACCCGGGTTCAATTCCCAGCACCCACATGGCGGCTATCCTTAACTCCAGTTCCAGGGGAATCTGACGCCCTGTTCTGACCTCTGCGGCATTGTACGACACGGGTGCACTCACATACATGCAGACCACACACTCATACACATAAAAAAATAATAATAAATAAATAAATATTAAAAAAAAACAAAACAAATGCTTTTCAACCTTTCCTCCTCCTTTGACCTCAGGAACAACAACTACCATTTTATCTGGTACAATCTGTTTGTCTTAGGCACAAGGACATCCAGGACCAGAGTGGAACTGTGACTTCCCTACATCCCTACTGTTTGGTAAGATTCTCCTTCCCTCCCTCCCTCCCACACTCCCTCCTTCCCTCCCTCCCTCCCGCCTTCCTTCCTTCCTTCCTTCCTCCCTCCTTCCCCCTTTCCTCCCTTCTTCCCTTCTTCCTTTCCTCCCTCTGTCTTGACTCATTTATGGAAAGCCAGTTGCCATGAGGTGAGGGGGAGGACATCTGAGCCACCCTATGGAGCTATCCAGTGACTAAGAACTGAAGTCTCCAACCAATAGCCCGGAGACGAGTAGGAAGAAGACACTCCAGCCCAGCTTTCCCTGTGTTTCCACAGAACTCTGAAGTTTGTAAATTCACAAATACCATTTCATTTACTTACACACACACACACACATGCACACACACACGCACGCGCACGCACACACACACACACTCACAAGGTGGGAATCTGTTCCCTCCCGTGGTTCTTTCCCACATCTCATGAAGGCTATGGCCTCCTGTCCACAGCAACCCCTGCTAGGCTGGTGACCACCAAGACCTCAGAGTGCAAGTCATCCTCTCTCACCACAGACCCTGAGCCAACCAACAGAACCACTCCTGGATTTACTGACCCTCTAAAATAGTGTGATAATGTGTTCCTGTTGTTTTAAGTCACTAAACCTTGGGCATGTGTTTCACAACAGTAGATGCTTAATATAAACGGAGGGTGTCAGCAGAGCCCCTGGGGCTCCTGTTCCCTGTCGCTTACCCATGCTCCAGCAGCAGAGCCCCCCAACACCCACCCCACCCCTCCCACCCCCACTCCCGTCGCTCACCTGTGCTCTAACTTCTTGCGGCTGATACACATGGCCCGCTGGTAGCCCTGGGCAATACACACTTTGTGACGACTGCACTTCACCTTCTGACATGGGTCCTTGGTGGTGTCCAGGGCTGTGAGAGACACAAAGCCAGGACACTGACCACCTAGGAGAATTCAGGAGCCCTGGCCCAACTTCTGAACCCACAGGTACCTCCCTCCATCAGCCCTTAATAACTAGAGCTGAGGACTCTCGAGTCCTGCCCCCAAGGTGTCTAGCTGCTCAAGGAGCCCCAGGACAAGGTCAGGGCTTGCCCAAAGGTCTTCTATCTTTATGGATGTTGGTCTCCTCCCCCTACCTGGGAGGGGCATGCTACCTTCATCTCCTTGCTGATTGTCCTCCCAGCTTTTGATGTAGTCATCCTAAGGAGGGACAGAAGGAGGAGGAGAAGGGAGGGGTCGAGTCATCCCAGAGCTGAGGGTCAAGTTCAGGGCCCAGGATGGGAGAGTCCTGGGCAACTGTTTCCATATGCCAGTTGCCACCGTCCATCCACCCAGGTGCTGCCCATGGCCTTCCGGAACCATACCTCTATCCCCCTAGCTCCACATCCAGAACACTTTCCAGCCTCCCGCATGGACCTTCCTCTCCCATCCCACACTAGGTGCTGGCAGGGGAAGAGAAAGGAATTGGGGTGAGGCCATGGCCTGGGTTGTACTTACTTCTACCTCCTGGAAACAGGACGCCACAGCAGCCACAGGAATTGAGCAGGGGAGAGAGGGAGAGAGATGGGACTTCAGTGAGAGGCCCACCCTCGGACCATGAGTCACCAGGGCACCCTCATGCAGCCATGGGGACTAGACAATAGTCTCTGACACTATGGTCCCAATCCTAATAACTCCAATCAGAGGTCAGTATTCCTACAACTTCAGCACAGGAAGTTTACAATCTGGGAGCAGTGAGGTAGGGTCCATGGTTTTGAGAGGTGACAACCCCAGGCCAGCACTGGTCCCACCACCAGGACAGATGTCCAAGGAGCCCATATCACCTGAGAATGGTGGTTCTCCTGCCTGTCTCGTGTGTCTCGGAAGGGGCACCCAGTCTCTCTTGCCAGAGCCCCTTCTTTGGCAGGCACCATGCTGACACCTGCCCACCCTGTGAGGGAGGTGGGAGGAAGAGCCCTGCTCTCCCCAGCTTCAGGGAAGCTGGTTTTGCTCAAAGTTCCTCTTTTTCTGCAGAGCCCAGATGGTACACAGTGGGAAGGGGGCGACTGTACCAATGGTGATGGTTTCCCTGGTTTATCATGGTCCAAGAAACCCGAAAAGGTCTTTCCAGGTCACCCAAGTCAGGCTTCCATGTGTAAGAGAAGCCAGAAAGCCCAGAGACACCAATTACTTGATCCAGGTCCCACTGTCACTGACCCAGATTGTTGACACCCAGCACAGCCTTCTTTCTGCTACATCACAGGGTTTCTGAGACCCGAAGCCCTTGGAGACTTTTCCACTGCTCCATCTCATGGCCTGTAGACCCCAGCCTGGCTAGAGACACAGACTCCCCACAGGCCTAGCTCCCTGGCACAAGAGCCCCCACACCTCTCTTTTCCCTTTGGGGTGCAGACGGCTAATGAAAACCATCAAACACTTTGCAGTGCATCTGGAAGAAGCTGTGCCAGGCAAATAGGGAGTGGCTTCTGGGTTCTGAAGGATGGTTGTGCCTGAGAGCTAGCCACCAGCTCCCTGTGCAAGGGATCCTGGGGAGAGTGGTACAAAACCATACACAGCTGCGCCCCCCCCCCACTCGTCAGAGATATCTGTGAAGGGGAATGGCTGGAGCCTCTCTGCAAGGTGGGGCTGAACAGGGCCAGGTGCTTAGTTGTTAGGCCTGGGAGAAGAGGGGTGGGGTCTAGCACCAGAGGTCACCCCATGGGAATAGCAAAGGACACAATGGGGAGGAGGGGCCTTGGGCCTCTGAAGCCTCCCCTGGAAGCTGCCAGGTACCAGGACAGCTGGGATGAGGGCCTCCAGGACAGAATCAAGTGGAGACTAGTCACCACGGAGGCAGTTGCCCGTGTACGGGTGTGTGCCCTAGTGTATGTTTCTAAACACATGCACGCATTCGTACAAATCCAGGTGCATACATAATGTATGCATATGGGCATGTATCATATGTGTGTGTGCAGACGTATGTGCATACACATCCTCACTTGTGTGACTGTGTATGTATGCATACAAGGGAGCAGCACGTGAACACGAGGACACTTGAGGCCATTCGCCGATGCCAGATGGTTTGTATCCAGAAATGAAGTAACGAACCCACTTCTGCGAACAGCCTCCAGTTTTCTCACTCAGCACTGAGGTCCTCCCTCGGGCATAGCCTTTCTGTCTCTTCTAGAGACAGAGACAGAGTGAGAGAGAGGGTAGCCAGAGAAGGACAGGAGAGGAGGAAAGGGTTATACAGAAACAGGCTCTCTGGGAGGGAAGGTTTGGCTCTTAGGATGCCTCGCCCTGTCTCTCATGCTGGCTGCCCTTCTTCCTGTGTCTCTGTCTCTCCTATCTGCCCTCTTCCTAGTCCTTGGCTCTGTCCACACCTGGCCCCCACAATATCCCCAAGCAGCCAAGTGTCCTCAGTCCTTGGCCCCAGGAGCAGAAATGAGAAAGGCTCAATAGGGGCCCAATGCTCAAGACTTGCTCTGGAAGCCACAGGATCAATGTTCCCCATTTTCTGGAGCCAAAGGATGCCAGCTCAGTCCCAGCCCTTCTGCAGCAGCACCTCAAGGTATAGGAGTCCTCTGCCTGAGGCCCATCAAGTAGCTGAGGCCAGGGTTACAAGGGCTGGGGCAAAAATGGGCACTGGCCTCCACCAAGGCCTGTCTCTATCTGCTCCCCTCCCTCTTCCATTCTGAGGAAGATTATAAGGCAGGGGGAAGAATGAGGTCGCATGCCTGTAATCTCAGAGTAGGCGCTGAAGCGGGATCTTTAGTTCAAGGCCAGCCAGAGCTACACAGTGAGACCTTGTTTCAAGCACAGAGGACAGAGTAAATGGCTAGGATTTGGGAGTCAAGGGTTTGTCGGCTGTCCTTGACCATCAAGATCTTTCCGATCTGCCCCAAACAGGAGGTGGAGGAACCTGAGGTGCTCCTCTATGCCCCTCCCATCTTGAGGGCCTTGGAACCCACTAAGTCTCATACTCCAGCTGGGGCCTGCTGCCTCAACCTGGAGCCAAGCTGTGAGTAGACTCCTTGGGACTCAGTACAAGAATTTCAATTTCTAGTTAGAAATTCTGGGAATTGTGGAAGGACTTTTAAGAAGTCACCCTTGCCCCGATTTCCAGCAGGGGGCAGCCTCCATGTTGGCAGAGGAGGTCTCTCTGAATAGAAGCTCCACTCCAGGATCCAGCTAAGCCCTAGGCCTCCACTGCAGTGCACTATGGGGGGTCGGGAGGAGTGGAAGGAGGCCACAAAGGGCCACAATTCGGAATCCCTTGCCTCTCAGCCCCTCGGTCTCAGGAGATTGGAAGCAATCAGATGCCAGCCAGGAGGGGTGGGGACAGGAGACTGCCATCACCCAAGGCCCCAGCATCTCCCTGCGAGTGCCTCAGGCACTTTTCTTGGTTTGGAAGAGTTCAGCGCCTCTCTCTTGGCCTCTCTTAGAAGAGCAGACCCCCACATTAAAAGAACTCAGATTTGGGCGGAGGAAATGGGGCAAGAGATGAAAGGCGAGGGGCTCCTGAAAGTTGTAGAAAGAGGGGCCACTGTGGGAGAGCAGAGACCAGCCAGGGTGTGAGGAGAATCGCTCCCCACAAGGGTCTCAGGGAGGGGTGACAGAGGCATCCTGCAGACAGCATGGGATGGCCATTTGGGGGCAAAGCTGGAGAAACGCTGGTCAGGCGGGACTGTCACCATCCAGAAGGTGAAGAAAGTGACTGTGGTTAACTGTGAATTATGCCCTCCCTTCAGTGGTCTATTTATGGCACCCAAGTGGGCTCATTAGCAGTTGTGAGAAATGGTCCGACAAGGGCACCCGGGTCTTCTCTGTTCTATGCTGGTTCTGTTACCATCCATCCTCACCTGACAGACAGGATTCCAGGAGCCCTTCTCAAGCCAGAACCAGAGCAGAGGGGAGATGGCTGGGTACCCAAAGTTCTGGGTTGATAGGTGAGCATGCCAGGCTGTCCTGGTTAGTGCACTCAGTTGGATCACAAAGCAGAGAGGTGAGAAAAGCTTCTGGAATGAACACATGCACCATGTTTGTGTGGAATGATAAAGTAAATCCTCAGACTGAGACTACAGTTCAGTTGGTAGAGTTGGAAGCCCTGAATCTCATCCCCAGAACCACAGAAACTGGGTACGGTGGTTTATACCTATAATCCCAGGGTTCTGGAATCAGAAGGATCAGTTCAAGGTCATCCTCAGCGACATAGTGAGTTTGAGACCAGCCTGGGACACATGAGACCCTGCTTGTAAATGAATAAATAAATAAGTCCTCTAAGTATTTTGCATCAACACCATTAAAAATGAAAACAAAAAATCCTGTTGCACAGAGAGGCAGAACAATGGGCCAGGCTGGTCTCAAACTCACTATGTAGCTGAGGATGACCTTGAACTTCTGATCTTCCTGATCCCAGAGTGCTGGGATTACAGACAAGGAGCCAGGCCAGACATCGTCATCCTCTGTTCTACTCACTCTACATGTATTAGAGTCTCTCTGTTCAAGGCAGGAGCAGTCTCCTAGCTTGAAAAGGAGGTGGTATGAGGGGAAGGCAAAGGGGACTGTGGGCCGGGAGTCTGCCCCTAGCTGGCCCACTGTGTGTACTTCAAAAGTCACTCACTTGCACAGGCTTAGTCTCCTCCCCTGCATCACGTGGGCCTTAGCTGTGGCTGCCCTACAGGGGAACCAGAGAGAGAAGCTGTGTGAAACTCCCAGTGCCCAGGTGCCATTAGAGACCTGCACCTGAACTGGTTCTTGGTCCTACTCTTGGGCAGTCAGGGTAAATCTCTCAAGTCCAAGATCCCTCCAGCTATGCATCTTCTGACACTCTGCTTTTGTGTTCTGGCTTATTTACCTGTAATAGAGCAGCCATTCCACGTCCCTCTGAGGGACCCTCACATACAAGTCTCCATGTACAGAGGGACCACTGACTCCCTGGCATCTAGTGCCATACCAGTCTCTCCAAGCCTCTCTATCCTTATCCTCTTCCCTCCCTGCCCTCCCACCCTCTCCTCTCCATGCAGGTCCTTTAAGACAGCTGAGCCTAAATCCCTGCAGCGCCCCCTCCTGGCCTTGAATTCATCTTCCCCAGGCTGAAGCTAGTGGCCCTTTCAGAATGTCATTCTGAACCTGTGTCCCATTCACTAAATGAGCTGCTCTCATTTGAGATGGATGGTTGGGTGAGTGGATGAATGGGTGGGTGGGTAGGAAGATGGATGAATGGATGGATGGATGGTTGCTCCCTCTGCAGGGCAGGGATGCAGAACATTTGGCATCTTTTTGTTTTTTTCTCAAGTTTCAAATTTTCCTTCAATGAGCATATATTAATTTTCTAGTCAAGGGAAAAAATCACCACAAATGTTATATTTTAAAAAAAAACCCTCCTAGCTGGGCATGGTGGCATACACCTTTAGTCCCAGCACTTGGGAGGCAGATCTCTGTGAGTTCAAAGCCAGCCTGGTCTACATAATGAGTTCCAGGCCAGATCCCACTATAGGGAGACCCTGTCTCAAAAAGAGCCCCTT